ACCGTATGCACACGCAAAAAAAATTCAGGTTCTAAGTGTTTACCCTGAAAACTCACACAATAAACATGATATTTCCAAATGCTACCAACACCGGCAAACCACAGACACTCACAGCTGCTCAGGGGCCTGGCCCTCTCTGAGGCCAGCAAGGCTCTGACTTGCTATGTAGTGAGATGACATGCAAATAGGGCCTCCCTCTGAGGTTAAAGCCACCCGGCCCTGGCCCTGCAGCTCTGGGAGAGGAGCCCCAGTCCGGGATTCCCAGCTGCTCCCATTCTCTAACCAGGACTGAGCACAGACGACCCGCCATGGAGCTGGGGCTGAGTTTGGTGGTCCTGGCTGCTCTTTTACAAGGTAATTCATGGAGAAGAAGAGCTTCTGAGAATGTGGGTGTCATGATTGATTGAATCAGAGGACGTGTGGCAGCCTCCTGACCAGGATGTCTTTGTGTTTGCAGGTGTCCAGGCTGAGGTGCAGCTCGTGGAGTCTGGGGGAGGCTTGGTGCAGGCTGGGGGGTCTCTGAGACTCTCCTGTGCAGCCTCTGGATTCACTTTCGATGATTATGCCATAGGCTGGTTCCGCCAGGCCCCAGGGAAGGAGCGTGAGGGGGTCTCATGTATTAGTAGTAGTGATGGTAGCACATACTATGCAGACTCCGTGAAGGGCCGATTCACCATCTCCAGTGACAACGCCAAGAACACGGTGTATCTGCAAATGAACAGCCTGAAACCTGAGGACACGGCCGTTTATTACTGTGCAGCAGACACAGTGAGGGGAAGTCATTGTGAGCCCAGACAAAAACATCGCTCCTGGGGCACCCACAGCCCCCAGGGGGTGCTCACGACCCACCAAGGGCAGGGCTGAGCCCCAGGAACAGGTGCAGATGTGTGGGAGGTGTTTGCAGTTAGAATCCTTGGTTTCCTTTTCCCGCCCATCAACTCAACTACAGACCCTCTGCTGGATTCTAAATTTTCATTGTTGAGGTATGTGTTGCTTTCTGACAATAATATTTGTAATCAGGATGTATTTTTACAACTGAAAAAAAGCTCCAAACAATGTTAAACTTTAGTATAATTTTAAAGGTGACTCAGCAATTTTCAAACCTGACGAGTACCCTGAGAAGGCACAGGCACTGGTAAAACACGTGTAAACAGTTACTCATCTTTGTCTCTGCTCCCGGGGCAGGAGGCTGCACACCCTGCATCTTTCTA